ATTCAAGATCCCATGAGATTTTACAACTAATACATATTTCTTATTTAAACAAACTAGAGAGTAAAATTACTATGTATACAGATGTATAAAATGGTATAACTTTCATCTCCTCTTAATTCAGTACGGTTGTGTTGTAACAGTTTCACCAATTTTATTCCCTGTTTACATTACTAATATGGTAAAAGAAACTCCAAAAATTCATATCGTATACCAACTTTACATTTTAATTCCCTATACATGTGGATTATGTATTAAAATAACACAACATAAATTCATCTTACATTTCAACCTCAACCTGACTAACCCGATTAACCCGACCCTACTAACCCGAAATCCGATTAACCCGAACCCGACTAACCCGTACCTTACTAGGGTCGGGTTTCGGGTGAAAATTTTTTTTTTAGAAAAACCCGACTAACCCGACCCGTTTAACCCGAAACCCGATCGGGTTAACCCGATTAACAACCCTATTTGTAACATTGAATCATGATAAATTAAGTAATCTGACCCTTATAAATAAGATTTTTAAAGAAAATAAATATTTTTTCTAGTTTTTGAAAAATACAATTTATCTTGAATGCCTCATTCAAAGAAAAAATCTCTCTGCGTATATTCAAAATATCTATTTCGAGATGTCTAAATGAACACTTATTCCATAATGCTCCATTCAAGCTTTGATCTTCAGATTCAAGAGTTATTTTTTTGGTTTTTTCCATTTTTTTTTGAAAGGAATATCCCCACTTTATGTCCGAAATATCTTTCTTGAAGTGCTTAATGTTACCATTTTTAATAAAATATTTGATTTAAGTAAAACATGATTTTTTTCCCCGAAATTCCAAAATTATTTATTTGATTTCAAACTTATTCTCGAAATCCGAAATTTCAGTCCATAATCCATAATGTTGATTCGAAATTCTGAAATGTCAATCCAAAATGTACTTTTTGTCAGAAAAAAATATTTTATTCTTGATTTGATTATTTTTTTTTCTAAAACCAAAATTTTGTAATTATTTTTTTTCCAAATACGCCTTAAAACTGTGGTTAGATGACTTAGATCCGTTAATACCCTTTGCATCGTTATCATTATAGTTGAGATATAATATGAGGGGGCGAAACTACAATTAACCACTTGTTGAGGGTCTACTTTGTCGCATCTTGCTCATTTCTTTTCTTGAGACGAAAGACAACCAGTCCGCTTATAACTTTGCCCTTTTTCTTCACTTATTCCGAAACCCCAATCAAACGAGAAGCTAGTAAACAAAACAGTAGTATCAAATTCGCCCTAGAAGAAGATGAGTAGCATAGGAACAGGTTACGATCTATCGGTTACAACCTTCTCACCGGACGGTAGGGTTTTTCAGATCGAGTACGCTGCTAAAGCTGTCGATAACAGCGGCACCGTCGTCGGCATCAAATGCAAAGATGGCATTGTTATTGTAATTTTTCTTTGTTCATTGTGAACTTCGAAATTTGAAGGTATGGTTGTTACTGCTTATTGACCGCGGATGATTTTTGAAATACAGGGAGTAGAGAAGCTGATTGCGTCGAAGATGATGTTGCCTGGATCTAATCGTAGAATCCACTCCGTGCATCGTCATTCTGGGATGGTAAATGGAAATTTGTTTTTTGTTGCTATATCTGAAGGGTCTATTTTATTGTTATATGACTGATTATGCAATTTGAAGGCGTTGAATGCTCAGTATGAGAAGTATTCCTTCTAATAAGCAAGTAAAAGTATTGAGAAGTTATTTTGTCAGTGATTTATTATCTGCTGAATATATGCTTCCGAAGGTGCTTTAATCGGTGTTACACTCACTGTACAGGGTGTAGCTGGATTAGCTGCAGACGGGAGACAGATTGTTGCAAGAGCCAAATCTGAAGCCCAAAACTATGAAAGGTTTTCTCACATTCCATTTTATTTTACTTTTATCCCTCCTTTATATCACCACCTTTCTGATAATATCCTTATTCCTTAAGGTAGTGAAGATGCCATTAGTTAGGTTTTTAACAGATATTGAATGATGTTATTAGTTTATATGTGTGGGAATATAAGAATAGATATGTTCTTGAGCATTATTGGCCTTTTAAGCTGTTTAGTGCCTAAAGTGAGATCATCTATACATGGAGTTTGTATGAATAGAAGCTTCCGTGCTTCTTGACAATAATTGTCATCTATTGCAGAAAACAAATCTTTTTTAAGGAACATCTACAAGAAACCATGTAATCATTTTGTGTTAGTTTGACCTATCAGAATATTTAAGGGTATATTGTTCCAAATTAGGGCCACTGTCTTCCCTAAAACTAAACCAAACAATCAGCAAAGATCTCCAGCTTCTGTATTAATAGCCACATGTCATAAAGACATAAACTATCTTCATATGGGCAGTCATACATTACATTTTGAATTTATTCTTGTAATAGCTAGCTAGCTTCTTAGAAGCAAATACACATTTATTTTTCAGATAAAAAAACATCATGACTTACAATATCAAAGTTTTGTGCATTTTGCAGTACTTATGGTGAACCAATTCCAGTTAAAGAACTTGCTGAGCGTGTTGCTAGCTATGTGCATCTATGCACACTTTATTGGTGGCTCAGGTTTGTAGAACATAAACATTGTGTATCACTTCCAAATTTGAAAACACCTAAAATTTTATATTATTATATACTAAGAGCAGTATTTGTGCTACAGACCTTTTGGATCTGGGGTGATTCTTGGAGGTTATGACCGTGATGGCCCACAGTTATATATGGTTGAACCTTCTGGTGTTTCCTATGTAAGTTACCATTCTTTTTCTAGAAATAGTGATGATGATGCCAAAACAACATATTAAAATAATGGTATTTTGTGACCATGCAGTTACCTTATGATAGTAATTTTTTTTAAAACAATGGTGTTTTGTGAAAAAAATACAAATAGTTTGTTACCCATTAACAACATTAACCCTAAATTCTAATGCTATTTCTTGTAGAGATATTTTGGTGCTGCAATTGGGAAGGGAAGGCAGGCTGCTAAAACGTAAGTGAACTCATGTTTATTGTTCTCATTGCTTAAAACTTTGCATGTGTTTAACATGATAAAACTCAATTTACCATGGGCTTGAGTTAAATTGCTAATCAAGTTGTGCAAATGGAGCAAATTTAATAACTATGGTTGTACAGTTGTTACGATCATTGTTATGACTATGAGAATTGGTTTATATAAGGTTCACTATGTTGGTTTTGCTTACAATATGTTATGGTTATAGGAACTAGAAAGTGTGTACAATATACATTCTTATGTATGGTTCATAATTGTGTTCTATTGCATGGTTAAATATGTGTCTTTAATGGTGTAATTTTTTATATGCTAATATTGGGTGCAATTGTTTAACTACAGGGAGATTGAAAAGTTGAAGCTTTCTGAGATGACTTGTCGTCAAGGGGTGATTGAAGTAGCAAAAATGTGAGTCTTTTTTCTTAGTTATAAAATACTTAAAGCCCTAAATTTCTTATGTAGTTTCTTTTTAACTTAATGGACTTATGCAGAATCTATGGAGTACATGACGAGGCAAAGGACAAGACCTTTGAATTGGAGATGAGTTGGGTCTGTGATGAATCAAACCGCCAGCACCAGAAGGTAACCAAACCAAACCAAACCAACTCTTTTTATTTTTTATTTTTTTTATTTTTATTATAAAATCAATATGTGCGTGTGTTACGTTGCTATAATAATGGATGTCATGTGTAGGTACCCGAAGCACTTTTGGAGGAAGCAAAAGCAGCAGCTAAAGCAGCATTGGAAGAAATGGATGCTGATTAAGATCCCTTAATATATTATAAATTTCCTCCCTCTCCCTTTGTGTTTGTGGTTGTCTCACTCTTGGATTTAAATTTGTTAGACATCTTGATCCAGCATATTTTATTTTTAAGTTTCCTTGATATTAATCATCTAAGATTGTAACATTTCACAACACTTTCATGTATTTCGCACCATTCTCTTTTGCCACCACCTCAAAAAACAAAATTTTTGTCAATTATGCGGCTGTAGCAACTTGATAAAAACAAAAACACACAACAATAAAAACTAAAAAAATGATTAAAACTGTTTTGATGTCAAGAGACACTTTAATGTGTAAAAAAGAAGTCAAAATTGGGACTTTCCGTTTATAGATAGACTTCAAATATTATGTTATTGAGTTGACTCAATAAAATGTTTTCAAAAAATGGAAGGCGTTTGAGTGGCATTATCCGAATCGTAATTGGAAATTTCATTTCGTTATATGTTTGGGTGCAAGGTTCGACTAAATTGAATTCATTGGAATCGTTAAATTCTATCGGACGATATAAAATGCATCAAAAGTTATCACATATATCAAATTTCACTTTCAAAAAATAGCTACATTACTACACAATTAATAATAGGCATGTTCTTATCAAATAAAAACATGATTGAAACCAGAGGCATTTTTAGAAGTAATTAACTTTGTTAAGTAAAAAATGCTAGCTTCTAGGAAGAAAACAAATATCATATACATTTCCTGAAAGATGAACTCTAGCCCATACCCAAACCTATAACAAAATCCAAGTATAGGCATGACAAAATAGCCAAAATGGCCAATATGGTTTGGGCACATCTAAGCTTTTTCAAAATTATGAATATGGTCCTTTCTTTGGGTATATCTAAACTTACACAATTAATAATATGTTTCACCTCTTCTAATTATTATTTTTTTCATTTATTTAGTTAGTTTAATTATTTAAATATTAAAATGTTTAAAAACTGTAAAAGATCCACACGTCTTATATGAACAATGGGAAGTATATGACAAAAAAACCCTCAAAATTAATGGATGTTCTCCACATATGTAAAACAAGAAGAACGATTCAAGAAAGAACACCAGAGTACTACAATTATAAGCACCTTTACTTCCAACATCATTCAGTCGTCCATTATCCAACAAAATCAACAATACCCATTCTCTTGTTTTATGTTGTGTTGTGGTTTCTGCATGCATTATTTAAATCTTAATTGGTGCTGATGAATGAACCACGAAATGGTCATGATCAGATCCAATGCTGATGTCCAACTCTTTGAAGACTCCATTTTTCACATCATAACTACACATACCCTTACCTGTTCTGGATCTCAAAATGATATATCGCTTACTTATCCCACCACAGATGCGATAAGTATCAAGGTATCTTGTATAGTGCCCAGTTATCAACTGCAACTTTTTCCACCTTTTCCTACGAAAATCTTTAAGAATCCATACGTAAGCATCATTGCCCTGATAAACTCTATCAAAAACGGCGAGGAAACCACCAATCACAAAAAGAGAATTCCCGTAGTATCTCTCCTCAATTGATCTAGGTAGTCTTTTCTGGAAAATTTCTTCTGTTTCAGTATCCATTGAAACCAGGTCGTTGGAGTCATTAAAGGTTTCCCAGTGGATGTACCTACCTTGACGAACTAAGACCGGTTCACACCAAGAATGTAGCCTGTTCTTCACGTCCTTGGTAAAAGAACCTTTCACGTGTTTCCACTTTGAAGAAACACAACTCAGATTATCTCCTCTTCCAAGATTAAGAATATGGCATTTGATTGGTGGGCCACTATACAAATGAACGACCTTGTATATTCCCTTGAACCCAGAAAGTGCCACTCCACAGTTGCCAATACAATATCTACCACAAGGTGCATTATGCTGGGGAAGATATGATCCTTCCTTGGTAATTAGATTATAAACATACAAAGTGTTTGTGTAGGAAACGGATATCAGAAGAAACTCGTTACACCAAGACGTTATCATGCCTATGTGAGGTATGTCAAGATCAAGATCCTGCTCTTTCACTTGTAGCCTTTCTCCTTCTTCCCTTATATCCACAAGACATGTTCTGAAGGTTCCCATATTCTGGAGGATATATGAAGCATGGTCTAGCAAGATGCTGTTAGTGATTATATTGAACCAACGGCTACATACATACTTTGCCTTATAACGGAGGACAGCATCAGGAAGCCTTTTAAGGATTTCTAAAAGGATGTCATCTGGAAGAAAGATAAACGGGTCAACCTTCACTATCTTACTCTTTCTTGCCCTCCGTTTATGTGCAAATTTTTTCCGGGACTTGCGCCTTGACATTTCCACGTGACTTCTGTTTCAAAACTGTATGTTACCTTTTCTTGTAATCAGAAATGTGAGGAAGAAACAAACGAGTCAAGGGTTTTAGCTACGCAAATGTACCTATACAAACTAGTCTATATAACGTAATGGCATTCTGATCCCAACAGGGAATAAGTTTCCAAAGAACAGAAAAAAAAAGATGCATTTAGCTATTTGTTTTAGTTTGACCTACGTACATATATAAATGTGTAGAGTATCTCATCTCAAATGGATTAAAAAGTAAGATTTACCACTAAAAATGATGCATCCGGAGTACACATCTTCATGCATGAGGCACAAATTGTTCATCATCTTACACCATAGATGTAGATGTATTGTAAACTAGCAGTTATGTAACATCTACAATCTATAATCACTTAGCTACAAGAACTAATATTGAAAACTCTATTGTAGGGCTAAAAACAAAAAGAAACTTCAGACTGTAAATTATGATTTGATCAACAGAAATTTACGTTGAATCGCAAGCACGTAGGGATTAGGAAAGACACATACATATAAGAATTCTCAATTCTCAGGATAACATAAACGAATAAAAGAAGAAAACCTGTATGTAGCAGTCTAGCTTTAACACCCTTTTCCCGAGTTTCATTTAAAGGAAAGAAAAGAAACGAAGAGAAATGCGGAGAGAAAAGAAAAGAATGGAAAGAAAAGTAAAGTGTATTTTTCTGTTTCCGAGTTCGAGATAAAGGAAAGGAAAATTATTTTTCTTTATGTTCCCGAGTTGGAAGGAAAAGAAATGAAAACTAAAAGTGGACAACTATACCCTTGTCACATTTTTTCCATAATTTCAAATATATACCACACGATTCTCTTGAAAACAAAATTATGCCTAAATTGTTTTTCTTTAATTATTTTTTTTTCACATGATTATTTATATAAAAATCATTAATGCATAATTCATTATTAATCACAATTCTAGTATATTCTTCATTTATATAACTTTTTCAAACAAAATCAATATAAAGGGTAAAAGAAGTAAATAAACCCAAACCAAAAATAACATAAATGTATGAATAATCAAACAAATTCATAAGAAACCAATTTAAAGTCAATGCAAGAATAATCAAACAAATTTCAATGTATCAACTCAAACCAAAAACTAAAAAGTATGAAGTCAAACTGATAAAAAACCAAAAAACTACCATCCTAAGTAAGTCATTTACTTGCCCCCATCATTTTTTTCAGCAAACTTTTTCGTATTTTAAATAGAACTTTAAATAATGTCCCCGCATCAGATTGATTTCGCGACAAAAACATGAGAGCTTCTGCTAATTCATCTGGTTCCAAATCCATTGGCTCTAACTCTTTATAAATTTCATCATTAGTATAAACCCGGTGATGAGAGTTTTCGAAGATTTTGTTACCCTCTCTCATAGCAGAAGCCACATCTTTAACTGCACTCATAATAACCTTTTCAAACGATTCGGGTTCAACTTCAGGTTCATCTTCATCTTCAATTTCATGTTTCCTTTTTTTACTTTTGTACTTCTTAGAACTTGAATTTTGCACCGGTGAAAAGCATGTAAGAGATAACACTTGAATATCATCAAGACCATCATCATCATCATCATCATTATTTTTTTGTTGTTTCTCAAGTGTTATGTCATTGCTTGCTAGTAACTGATCCACTTCTTTAATTGTTTCTACTTTGATATCCCCAGTCTTGTTCAATCGAGCATTCTTCTCTTTCGGGGTTTCAGCATGCACCCCTGAAGCCCTATCTCTCGCAAACAAAGCTATCATTTCATTGTAGTTTGGTATTTTTTTGGACTTCAATGAAATTGCCTCTGGCTTTGACTGTAACACACAATCCCAAATACAATTATTGTTTTTCATACAATAGGTAACATTTTCGATGGATAGTGAGCTACAAACACCTGCTCAATTTCTCAGAGTCAGGCAAAGACAAGTAATTCATCTGATTTGCTTGTTGATGGCCATTTTGACACATCGTGCCCTTGCCAACACAAACCGTCCCAAATTACCTTCTAGAAAACTTATTTTAAAGCGACGACGTATACGTGAACAGTTGCTACACGACCTTTCAAATGGTGGACAATGCCGTGAACTTATCCGTATGAGTGAGCAGGCTTTTAAGAAATTGTGCACTATCTTACAACAAGTTGGTGGTCTTCGAGCTACTCAACGCATGTTCGTTGAAGAGCATGTTGCAAGATTTTTGCACATTGTCGGCAATGATTTTAGAAATCGATTTGTGTCTTGGCTATACCGTCGCTCTAAATCCACTACAAGTAGGTGCTTCCATAGAGTTCTTCGAGCAATTATATCACTGGAAAGTCATTATATTCAACAAGCAAAAGGTGATGTTGTACAAAAAGAAATTCAAGAAAAAAAACGATTTTATCCTTACTTCAAGAATTGTATAGGTGCAATTGACGGGACACATGTTCGTGTCAAAGTACCTAACAAAGATGCCCCTAGATATTGTGGTCGCAAGGGATACCCTACGATAAATGTCTTAGCTGCTTGTATGTTTGATTTAAAATTTACGTACATTTTAAGTGGTTGGGAGGGTACAACATCGAACTCAAGGATACTAAAGAATGCACTCACTAGAGAAGATAAACTAGTAATTCCAAAGGGTAAATTTATAATACCAAAATTAGTCTTATGTGTAATCTAATTTTTAATACATAACTAATTACAACTTATTTGTAGGTCGATACTATTTGGTAGATGCTGGTTTGCCTCATACAACTACACTAATGGCACCATATCGCGGTGTCAGATATCATTTGAAGGAGTATTCTGCTTGGGCCCTGAGAATGCAAAAGAGTTGTTTAATCTCTGCCATGATTCATTACGTAACGCTATAGAACGAGCATTTGGTGTTCTAAGCATCAAAAAAGTCACAGGAATATGTATATACAACAACATAAAGTAATAACAATACCACAATTTCATCCAAAACAAATCAACACTCACTAATTATTTCCAGTTTTTACCATGAATGAATGTAATTGTTTCCCATATCTTGAAGCAGGAAAAAAAATGAAGCAGGAAAATTGTTTGAAGCAGAAAAAAAACAGGAACACAGTGTACGCCTAATGAAAGCAATGAAGCAGAAAAAAATGGAGAAAATTGGGGTGAAGAAGAAGATACCTGATAGCAGCAGATTGCAGGAGTCGCTCGTGGTATGCAGAGGTGGAAGAGACGTCGCTTGTGTGTTGTATGTGTGAAGAAGAAGTCGCTATATAGGGGGTATATTGGGAATACGTTGAAATTTATCTCATCACAGATTCTCTTCTCTCCAAATCACTCCAATTTGGGAGGAAGATTAGGAGAGAAGTTAATCCTCCCGAATCCTTTCCTTTCTTTCTGAATCATTCCAGCCAATTAACTCGGGAACACGATCGGCATACACTTTCTCTCCGATTCCCTCCCTTTCTCTCCAAATTGCTCCTTAAATTCCACTCGGGAACAGGGTGTAAGAGATCGGTGATAATCGAAGTTAGGCTTGGGTTAATCGATAGACAATATAGATTTTCTATGGTTCAATCAGATGTGAATGTACGCTTGGGTATTGGATCTCCACTCCAACATATGAAAAAGGGGAAATTACAACGTAGCCCATTAACATCTTTATAATCTGGCCGATTATGCCATTTTTTCCCACACGACAGGTCATTAAACTTGTTGTTGACGTGTTAAATAGGGGATTGAGCCCCAATTCAAATGGTTAATTGGTAACATGTCATCTACTTGGAGCCTATGTGAATATTAATTTACGACGTGTCGGAAACCTCATCGCCACGTGTATTAGAACGCCTCGTTTTCAGCTAACATGTTATCACACCATTTGATCCGGATCCGATTCGCATTCATTATTCCCATTATTGAGCTAAAGAGAAGAAAACCCTAATTGGAGTAGCTAAATGTCTTCATCTTCTTTATCGCATCAACCACATCAACAATTAAGGCTTGTAACTAACGAAGGAGAAGTGAAGAAATGCTTTTGTAAGTTAATCGCCAAGGAATGAAAGTTGTGGAGCTGGGATAACCCAACACGTCATTTCTGGAACCACGTAACTCTGTAACGTCCCAAAAATACTGAGTAAAAATTTCATATTAAAGTAACCCAAAAATCAACAATTATTCGTTCCAATCATAGTATGATAATGTCTCCTCAAAACATCAATATTAAATCAAAAGATAGTGTAGAATAAAACTCCAAGGTGTGCAATGCGATCATGTCGAGCTCTTCCCTTTGGAATCAAAAGTATCTGAAAATCATTTAAACACAAACCGTAAGCACACAGCTTAGTGAGTTCTTCCAAAATACCACATACCCAACAAGTAACGGGCCCAAGCCAACATACATGCTTTCGGGCCCAACCCATACATTCGGGCCCAACTATATAATCAGATCCAACCCATATGATCGGGCCCAACTCATATAATCGGGCCCAACCCATATAATATAATTAGGCCCAACCCATCATACATACATATTCAAGAGTCATAAAGATAGTCAAACATCCTACAGTACAGTGAGAAGACTCACCTGAATCACGAGATCAGCTAAACCACAACTCAATGCCCCGCAACATATGTTATAACACTCCTATCAAAACATACCTGGTTCAACCTAAGCACACAGACTAAATCCAAAAATCTTGACCAAAAGTCAACCCAAGTCAACAAGTCAACGACCCAAAAATCACCTCAACGAATCGCCATGACGTGGCCTTCCATTGGCCACGTTGTGGCAATGTAAGGACAAAACAATCAAGTTCCTCCCCAGTCGCCACGTCGTGGGAATTGGTACAAGAAAAAGAAGCACTAAAATTGTCAGTCGATATCGTGAGGGTGGCTAGTAGTGGTCATTTTGAGGCAAGATTTCACGAGGTTTTGAGCATAATATTATTGGTGGAGCAACCCTAAAATGCCGAGAAACTCTAACGCTGATGAACTACTATGTTCTTCGCGCTTCATTA